GCTACGCCGGATCTCAGTCGGCGTAATCATGGACCACGCCTTGATGGCGCGATGAATCATAACCAGGCGCTTTTGTTGCGCCGTCACCGTCATGAGGTCAACGTCTTCCTCACTATCTACGTCATCTATCAACTCCTCCTCAAGCCACAAATTGCGTAGGTGGCGCTTGAAAGGCGCCATGATGCCGACGTCCAAGGGCTGGACGTGGCTTGTCGCATTCGGTGGAATCGCTGCGACACTGCAACCAGCTTCCTCACTCGCAATCAACACACCTTGATCACTCACGTGAGAATCAAAGTTGTCAAGCAGCAGGACAGACGGCTCACGAACCTGCGGCCGTATCACCGACCGAAGGTATGTTGCCCAAACTCGCTCGTCCATCCACGCCCGCTCTTGAACAGCGTAGTGGTGACCCAAGGGAAAGTCGTCAAATTCACTGCGCTCAATGGGTCCGCCTGGCTTCCCTCTCATGACGAAGAGGATGGGAAGTTTCTCACCGTTGGCCCGCACTGCAAGGACCGCCGTCATACGGTACGAATGCTTCTCACCGCTCGATATCTTGGAACTGCCGCCTCGAACGGCCCAAATTGCGTTCGGTGGCATGTCGAAACTCATTCCCGTCTCATCGACGTTGATGATATCTTGAGGGTCGTAACCAGCAAAGGCAGTGTGGAAGGTGGTCGCAAACTTCACACGGACATCGTCAAGGTCCGCCTGGCTTCGTTTCGATTTGGCGGGCTTCTGCCGTGAAAAACCATGCCGAGCGCAGAAGGTTTGAAGGAGGCGTAGGAGAGTCGAGTACCCACTTCTCTTGCATGATAGGTAGCTTTCGAGCCAGTCACAGTGATGGCGCTTGAGGTAGTTGACAAGTTGCGTGCAGGTAACGGCTCGCTCTGCGGTGCGCATCTTGTGCATGAATGCCGTCAAGGCCGCAGTGTCGGGAATCGCTTCAGGTCGACCGGCGCCATTGAGGTTGCTACGCTTGAGGTTTCCTTGAAAGGCCATCAGGTCCTCCTGCTGTCGTGACCATCGCGCCAGGTTGCTCTTCGGAATCCCGGTGGTCGCCTCTAGCGCGCGAAACGACGAGGTGGCCAACATGGCAAGCATTTCTCTCTTCTTGGCGTGGGTGTAGCGACGCCGGGGTTTCTTCGTCGGGCTCACTTTGCTGTGGCGTGGTGAAGGCATTGATATTTGACTCGCGGGGATCACTGCAGCCACCATTTTAAATGTTTTCCCGCCAAAACTACATTTTATCCAATAGTCGTGCGGCATTCGTTTGATCGAATTTTGATTGGCCTAAATTACGTTAAATTTTGTGAAAACTTCGGTGTCCCTTAAATTCCCTCGTTGTCTGTACCGTTTCCCCCCGACAGTCAGGCATAGTATTCGTTCATGTCACCATGGCGGGATGTACACCCCAAGCCGAGTGTTGATGAGCCAGATGGATGCCGTGGCGTATTGCCAATCGGCTGTCTATCATATGTTTGGTGTGCTGCTGCTCCGTGGATTGCTCGCCTGGCTCGACGATCTGTTGGGTGCCGCGGCTACGCCTGAAGAAAAGCTGAACCTGTTGGGGCAAGTGTTCGAGATCTGTGAAGCTTATGGTCTCAAGCTCCACCCGAAGAGGTGTGCGTTCTTTCAACGTGAATTGAGTAGTGTGTGATTCTGAAGCCGGGTGTAACCCACTCCCCTGCGCGCGTCTATGTGATGTGGCTTAGCCAAAGATAGCGGTTGACCTCCAACAGTTCCTCAGCGCGACCAACGGGATGCGTGCAAGTTTATCCCACTACAGCCAACTGGTGGACCCGTTGTGCCGCCAGTGAAAGTTCGAACCAAGTTGGCTAAGAGTGCCAAAAAGTCTGCGCTGATCAAGATCCCGGTCAGTGCATGGGGTGGGATGCCGAGCACACAGAGTGCTTTGAGGCGGTGAAGATGGCCCTGGCCGGAATTGTTCCTCTCTCCTACCCTCAAGCCGACTAGATTGTGTGTCTCTTTACCGAAGCTAGCGTTGGCTTTTGGGGAGCCAATGCACCTCAAGTCCCTTCTGAAGTCCTGGACCTCGATTTAGCCGAGCAGCGCCATGAGCCTTTGACGTTCCTTAGCGGCTCATTTGTGGGGGCAAGCTTGCGTTGGTCCATCGTGGAGGAGGCCTATGCCGTGGTTGAAGCGTGCAAGCGGTTGAATTACCTGCTGGTGCGTCCCAGTGGCTTTCGTTTGTTACAGACCACCACTGGAGTATATCTTCAACCCAAGGGGAAAAAGCCCGAATATGGCCAAGTATCAAGCGGACAAATTGCAGCGCTGGGCCCTGGTCATGCTTACAGCACGTTCCCTACAAGATCGAGAGTGTTTTCAGTTAAAACGGCGTATGGGGCGACTTGCTGAGACGCTGGGGTTCGGTGCCTGCTGGTCCACGAGTTCGCAAGTTAATTACAATGGCGTCGCCCATGCAACACGAGGATACGAATGGCCTACACCTGCGTCCATCCTCAAGATATAGAAGAATATTGACGGAAAGCATGAGCAACTCATGTGTGCACATAGTCCTGTGATCAATAAAGAGTTGGATTATTTTTGCATTGATCTGTGTATGTACTTCCCCAGTGCTAATCGGGCCTCTACCCTCCTTGCTTGATGGTCTGACGAAAACGCAAAGCCCGAATGCGATCCATTTGAAATGGCCTTCAACGCCGAATTGCGTCGTTTGCTGGCCACAGGGATTACAGAGGAGGGCTTGCTGGAGGTTCCTGTGAACTTTTGATGTATCATGCGTTGTCGAGCATCGGGCATGAAAAAGTCCCATTGGAGGAGGTCAAGACTGAGGCCGAACGTGGCCACTTCTTTTGCAAGCTGATTGTACTCAGGGAAGTACTCGTTCTTCAACACGAGGCCACAGTACGTTGGTACAAGCACCATGATAGGCACTAACAGCATCATGCACCAGAATGGGACGAGGCTGGACATGCTGGCCATCATATCCATCCATGGCCATCCCGATAACATGTACCAGTTGGACGCAATCGTGGCAATTGAAATCCATAGTAGAATCGACAGCGCGTACAGCGCGCAGTTGATGAGCAGCCACGAGTTCTGGAACAACGTCAATTTGAAAGTAACGACCAGCATCACAAGCGAAAACACGACGTTTCCCATGAGCCACATTCCAGGGCACTCGGACATGTGGCCACTGTTTCCAAACGACCACACAACCATCAGCGTAATGGCTGCAGATTCCACGAGCGCGGAAAACACCCACGAGGAAAACACGGCTGCGTTTAGCAGGCTGTTTTGAGGCCCCGTCATATACAGCTTTGGAAAGGCCATCGCCATTCGATCGCGAACGTCTTGGTCCAGGATGGCCAGGCACAAAATCGGGTACGACGTGAAGATGACATTGTACAACTGGACAATCGACTCCAAAAAGAACTTTTGGCCGGAAAACCCACTCAACCACGTGTACGTGTATTGCGCAGAGGTCAGCATGATGTTTTTGTAAAACATGTACAGCACCAATTGCGACATGCGCATGTAATTCCACCTGCCGTGGACGAGGAGCAACCGTCCGATAAAGGAAAAGCGGCCAATCGCGTAATCGCTTGCATTGACTGCTTGGAGTCCCTCCTGGCCAGAGATTCCCACACCAACGTGTGCTTCTTGGATCATCGGGACATCGTTCGCTCCGTCTCCAATTGCCAAGGTGCGAACACATGGAATGTTATCTTTGATGAGAGCCACCATTTGAGCTTTTTGACCCGGGGACACTCGACAAGCAATGACGGCTTTACAGTGCTGAGCAAACTCCAGCAATGCGTACCGACACGTGCCTTCCAGGGCATGGACGAGACTCTCTCCATCTATGATCAGGGCAACATCCACCAAGGTCTCCGCTGGGTCTTGCGCAATTTTGCAAATGTTGGCAAACTGGGCTTGAAGCTCACGTTCAATCTTTTGCGGAGTGTCAAACAAACCGGAGTTGACGACAACGCGTCGCATTTGGCTGTGCAAGAGGTTGCACGCAAAGCCAATGTTGATGGCAGTTTCCTCCTTGTCGCCAGTGAGCACCCAAATCTTTATGCCGGCCTCGGCCAGTGTCGCAATTGTAGCAGGCACGCCGGCTTGGAGTTTGTCCTCGATGGCAGTAGCCCCAAGAAGCTCCAGGTCTTTTTCCAGTTCGTCCATGCAATCGTCAATAGCATTCGGCGCTTCGCTCTTTTGCTTGTCTATTTCGTCCAGGTTGTTCAGTGCTTCATGATATCGATCCCTCCATTTGCCGTAAAATGTGTCGTCGAGTTTCTTGGAAGCAATCGTAAGCGTTCTCAATCCTTCGTTGGCAAAGCCGTTGATGTGCGCGGTCGTGTGTTGAAGCAGCTCGGCGTTTTGCTCAGTTGTCCTCAACCGCTCAAATATCACAACATCTGCGCCCTTCGTCAGCACAAGAATATGCCCCTCTGGGCTCTTGACCACGATCGACATGCGTTTTCGCGCACTGCTAAATTCTAGCACGTCGAGCAATTCATACTGGACTTCCACTCCCCGAATTCGCAAGAAAGCCTTGCCAGGAACTCTGTTGATGAACTCGAACCCGAAAAACGACGCGCCAGACACCAACGCTTGCTCGTCCGGTGAAGATGCCGACAGCGTCAGCTCATTTGTGCCTTCACGGCGCTCAGGGATGACCGTGTGGCAGATCGCCAAGTGGAGAAAGAACCAGTCGATTCGGTCTTTTTGGTCCGATCCAAGCCCACCTGCCATGTGGTCAAACAACTCGGGGCCGTCAAAATTGACATTCGGCACGACATTAGCCTTGCGCTTGGTTTCTTCAATTGGAGGCAATGGCTCTGTCTTGTTAGCTCGCTTGAGCGCTGCCAACCCGATTTCGGTTGTGCCATGGCCATACGACACGCCGCCAATCGAGCACTTGCGGAACTCCATCACGTTGCACGTGAGCGTCCCGGTTTTGTCGGAAAATATGTACGAGATTTGGCCCAGTTCTTCGTTGAGCGACATGGTGCGGACCAAGGCTGGCGTGTCCGAGTCTTCGTGATACATCTTGGCGTCCCATTGAATAAATACAGACTGCACGTGCTTGACCATCGTCATCGACACGTACAACGAAATCGGAATGAACTGGTACATGAGCAGAAAGAAGTAGAAGAACATGACGACCCACGACGACTGCGACGACGGCGACGGGTGCCCCAACCCGCTGATGTACCACGTGGCCGAGTTTTTCGTCTCCCACAGGACGCTTCCCGTCGCCCCCACAGCGCAACACGTGAATAGCACACACACCAGCGCAACAATGTACCGGTTGATCGAGGCGTCCATGGAACTCATTTTGGACGGCGTCGCCGTGTTGTTCATCATGATCTTGGTGTCTTGCCCGGTGTTGATGACAAACCCAAACACCCATTCCGTGTTGCGAATTATACAGCCCCGCAGGAGGATGCTCTTGTGCGCTATTGACTCCTTTTCTCCGCCGTTTAAGTGTAACACACCCTGGAAGGTGTTAATCCCGTTGTTGGGATGCTCGCATTGCACCATGCCCTTCAAAGCGAGGAGTTCAGCGGGCGAGCGGCACTTGGTCATCGTGCACTGCATCGCTTGCCGTACTTTCATATTTGTCTCGCCGTCCAAACTCTTGGTTTCGACGTAGCAAAGACCTGTGGGGGGCACCGACGGCTGCTCCGACACAGCCAGAATCAGCAAGTCCGCAGGCACTTGGTCCCTGTTGCCCAACTTAACAAAGTCCCCAACACACAGGTCTTTCCATTCCCTCGGCGTGAACTGCGCGTTGTCCTTGTCCAAGGCATTTGTAACACGTGAATTTGCAATAGCGTCCGCGACGTGCCGCTTACGATCCTCCAAGATGGCGAAAATGGCGTCAATGACCATGATGAAGAGCAGCGTTGGCGCTGTTGACGGCAGGCCGTTCGTGTTGCTGATGGACGGAATCACCTGCATCATGGACACGACGAGAAAGTACGCGTTGGCGAATTTGCGGAACGTCTCAAAGAGAAACTTGGGCACGAATGACAGCACTGTGTACTTGGACGTGACGACAGCGTTGTCGCAGAAGGCAAACTCAGCGTTCTTGGCAGCATCGTTGAAGAAGATCTTCCTGTATTCGTTCGGTTGACTCATGTTCGCTCGGTCGCGGTCAAGTCCACGATGACAACACACTACAAACCAACGAGAGTTCCACGCCGACCCCAGTTACAAAAGGAAACGGTCGGTGAAACGATGCTATAAATAGATACGACAAGCACGTACAACCCGAAATATGTTCGCAAAACCCATATAAACTAATATCTTGTATAATATGATAACTGGGATGCAGTACGGCACAATATCACAACATCTGCGCCCTTCGTCAGCACAAGAATATGCCCCTCTGGGCTCTTGACCACGATCGACATGCGTTTTCGCGCACTGCTAAATTC